GAAAGAAAGGAAATTTCATACAAGATGGAAAAATACTGTTCTATCTATGAATTCTCCATAACACTCAATTCCACAGACAATGAAGCAATGCCCATAAGTGCTAAGAAAAACAAAATGTAATTTTAAAACATAACTTATCTAGATGTCATTTGAGCTTAGAAGTCACTAACAGGCATTCACAAACATGAAAGAACTCAGGGAACACAATACACTTAATTTCTTCTCAAGGAAAGAAAAATTGCTTGACAATGACATCCAGCCAGATTAAAATAACTAAAAATAAACTCAAGAATGGCAAAGTTAGGTTAAAAGAACTGGTAGTGAACAATGAGTCTGTTTAAATAAATAGTAAACAACTAATGCAAGTATGGTAGCAAAACTAAATGTGAATATTATAAACCTAAGTAATGTTAAAATAATCATACAACTACAAGGGGGTGGTTGGGGAAGGGGAAATGGGAGAAAGTTTGAGTGCTAATGTCCTCATCTTTCAAACCAGGGAATGAATAGATATTATCTAAATATCTATTTTTTAATGTTACATGCTAGCTTCTTAATGTGTATCCCTAACTCTTATTTGTTTGTTTAACATTAATGGGTTCTTTTATGGAAAAAAATACCTTGTGGTGAGTAAATATCTTTTACTTTTGATTTTCTCCTGTTTAAGTTAAACCAAATATAAATAGTTTCATTAAAAATATTTTTGAGGATCTCAGCCCACTTTCATAACTTTTATTTATCTGTCTACTACTGTATTCTTATAACCATAAAATATGCATGGAAAGATGTTCACAATGATTTTTTTTTAAATGTTAAGGGTGGCAATTTCTGAGTTTGGAGTAATTTTTACAATAATGTAAAAATACATTATTGTACTTTTCTTCATTGTTTTGTTTTTTATAAAGAGTATATCTTATTTTACAGCAACAATCAGATGAATATTTTGCCTTTAAAAATTGTGAGCAGTACTTGTATACCAAGATATTAACAGTGGTTCATTCTGGGTAATGAGAAAATAGGTAATAATTTTTTCTTTGTACTTTTCTACAGTTTTTAAGTTTACAAACATAAAAAAATAATTATTAACTCCTTATTTTTTACTATTCTACTTCTTATACATATATTTTATTAAAATATATAATTTCATAAATTTGATGCTCTGGGAAATAAAGACTGCAAATATCCCAAATAAAAACAAATAAATTACAAATAAATAGTATAAATACCCCAAAAACAAATAAAGAGTATAAATGTCCCAAACCCTGCGATATTCAGGGAGGTGTGTCCATATGTGCATATTACTGAGAACACTGAGTCAGCAATTAATGAATAACATGGAAAAAGTGAGAAATGTATTCTTTAATCAATGTTATCTCATATTATTTATTACTCAATCCTATGAAACAGCTTTTGTGTTATGTACTGTGGAATATTTGCAACATATGGCATTTGAACAGAGTTATACACCTGGTTTCATTGAGCTAACAGAAGAATTGTGAAATAGCTATCTTTATTGTTACCTCATAAACTGCATCAACAACTGAGAAACAAAAATAAATAATCTGAAATCCTCCACTTTAGGTGTGGAATTGTACAGGGTGCAGAGGGATATGAATACATATTTGTTAATATTAACATAAGAACAACAATAACAATAATAACAGAAGGATAAACTAAAAACCTAAAAAGTGGCTACTAGAGAGAAGAGGTTGTAGGGACAGGACATAAAACTACACTTCTTCAGCTGCATTATGTTTTGAATATTTGAGTTTGGAACCATGTATTTTACATAATTTTAAAATGAAATTAAATGTAAAAAGCAATCCCTGAAACTCAAGAACAAAATAAGCAAATAAAACTATGTGTATGAGAGTTGGTAGCATAACCACACAGAGAAGAACATTTAAAGTAAAAAACACAGTAAATTGATTAAACATAACTAGCTCATGTGGTATATCTTAAAGGCAAAAAACTGCAAATAAAAACTCAATCTGGCCCTGGCTGGTGTGGCTCAGTGAATTGAGTGCCAGCCTGCAAACTATAGGGTCGCCAGTTCGATTCCCAGTCAGGGCACATGTCTGGGTTGCAGGCCAGGTCACCAGTAGGGGACACGCAAGAAGCAACCACACAGTGATAGTCTCCCCCTTTCTCCCTTCCTTCCCCTCCTTCTAAAAATAAATAAATAAAATATTTTAAAAAATCTGTTTCTAATAATCATATAGTTGGTCATGTTGGCATTATGTATTGAGATAAAGCAAGTGAATAATCATGTTAATATCACTAGGAACTGGAATTGTTTTGGCATGCTAGAAAAGATGCAAAACAGAAGAGGTCAAGGAAAGACCCTATAGTGTCTAGATTTGAGTAGAAAGTGTCAGTATACGTTCATAATCTTACACACACACACACACACACACACACACACGCACACAGATTTTCTACTCTGTTCATTGGCCATGCAACAATAAAGAATGCAGCAGCCATGTGCACCCACAATGCCCAGACTATAATCTCTAATTATCATTTCTAATTCAAAGAAAATGAGAGTTCCTTAAATGCAAACTGCAGGACTGAGAGAGAAAATACACAGGTTAAACCTAGAATAGCTTGCCCTGTCCAAAACCAAGAAAGCTATCGAAGCCTATTTAAGGCACATTGGAGTCTGAGGATCCCATTTGAAATGTCATCTGCTGGCTAAAAAAAGGGATAATTTGAGCATGAGTTAGACGAAGACCTGCTTCTATCTTTCTTTGAAGGACTGAAATATTTCAAATATGTTTAAATCCATGAGGTCATAATGGATTTCCCCTAAATCCATTTCCTAAATATTTCCCCTAAAATATTTGGGGAAAAAGACCGTATTTGAACGTGTTATCTCACCAACTTATTTTTTAAATTAATGAAGGGAAGTAATCAAGTACTTATCTTTCTTATATTTGCCATGTTTTGAAGTAAACATGTGATAAAAAAGTTTCTGTTTATACAGAATAGTCCAGCTAACAAAAATAAAGAATGAATGATAAAATCAGAATGACACTGTGTTGCAAGTACTAATGAATTAATTAATGGATCTAGAAAATGATCATCAATGGAGAAACAACCAGATATCATGTGCTTCCTGACAATACATATAAAGTAGCCTTGTCAGAAAAACTGAACTTAGATGGGATGAAGGTTCCCCATCTTCCATATACAACTACCAACTAACAGGAAATAGGACAGAGGAACAAGTTAAAAGAAACAGTAAAGAGGCAATCATCAAACTCCAGAATGTAGTACACTTCACTGATTAGTTTTATTCATATACTGCAAGGGGGGTAGAGAGGGCAGGTGGGACAGAAAAAAATCATGGATTAGGGGAGATCTTAGAGATAAATGAACCAAGTGCAGGGCATGAACTTCATTACAATTCTGATTTCGACTAGTAAACCATATGGGATAGGGGTTTATGAAAACAGTAGGAATATTTGAACAATGGACTGGATATTTAATGTTGTAAAGAATTTATGTTGCTTTAGTTGAAATAATGCCATGGTTGTGTTTTTATTTTTTAGAGAAATCCTTATCATTTATATGGAAATGCTGAAATATTTAGTTAAAGTGATGTCTTGGATTTTCTTCAAAATAATATAAGTGGAGAGGAAATATAAAGAGTTTGTAAGTGAAACTTGCAAATTGTTTCAAGTGAATGATTCTCTCTACTCTTGTATGTTTATAATGTTCCACATAAAAAGTTATAAAAACAAAAATTAGAATGCCTCTCATTGTAAAGCTAGGCCTAAAAAAATGAGGTAGACACATGGGACTTTCAAAATGCAGGGTTATTTTGCAGGGTTATCTGTAAAAAGAACAAGAATTAAAAAATACTGGCTTATATAAGTTGCAAAAATTATTTCTTTTAAAACATCAGAATTAACTGAAAAATATAATACTTACTAAGAGGAGAAAACAACTCCACCCAAGAAACATCATTTAATTCATTTAAAGATGAAAGAAATGAGTCTGCAAGGCAAACCATGGGCTCATGGAAAGCTGTGATTTCTGTACAGATGTTATTAGGTTGATAGTTTCATATTGTTAATGACCGCCCAATCAGCATCCTCACTGCATTTATTTTCATATACGAAATCTATGAATGATCCCCAGAGTCCTTTAGTGATACCCGGTAAAATCTTGTACCATTTTGCCGGTTCCTTAGTCTTAGCAAGAAAGGGCAGGAGAGAAGCACAAGCATGTCCTCTTCCAGACCCAAAGAGGACTTCAGTGTCTTGGAACCAAAGATGTCCTAAAAACGGTACCATCGCACTGACACATTCTACGTGCAGTGTCACGTTTACGTTCGCCTTTCTCGAAAATATAAAATACATCTGCCTCCATCGTCTTAAGTACTATGAGACTAAAAATCCTTTTATAATGGTGTAGAACGGCAGGTATTCCAGCTGACGTGGGAGTAGGACGCTCTGCTCACAGAAGGATGTTTTGTCTCAGAAACACGGAAGACACTGCAGATAGAAATAGAAAAAACAATGCCCCCTCCAGCTGAAGCGCTCCTGTCTTACTGCGGTTCCCGACACCTTAACATCTGAAGTTATTTGGCCATCCTAAAAAGTGTAACTTATCCTGACGTCCCAAAAGATGGAAAAGTTACCGAAGTCCGAGGAATGAGTCACTTTCCTCAATTTTGATGAGTAATCTCAGGTGTCATGGAACCCTGATGTGATCGGAAGACGGCGAGGGGAGGGGGCGTCAGAGCTGCAGACGGAAGAACACTGGCCGCTGGGGATTGGATAGCGAGATCTCGATTTTCTTAAAATTGCGTCATTTCGAACCTATTTGGGTCCACATATTATGGACACCGACGGGTTACCGTCTCGGAAACTCTCAATCAGACGCAAGCGAGAGGCGAGGGGGCGGCTAATTAAATATTGAGCAGAAAGTCGCGTTGGGGAGCGTGTCACGTGGGTCTCCAGGCTGGTGGAGCCCGGGATAAATACCGCGCGGCACCCAGCAAGCCGAACGCGCGCTGCGACCTTCTCCTCCACCGCCCGGGCGACTGAGAGTGCGGAGCGCCCTGCGTGCGCTCAGACCTGCCAGAGGAACCCTGTGGGTCTGTGCTCCACAGTAAGTGTCTGCGCCCTGCCAGGCGGCTTTCCGCGCCACCCAGAGCGCTCGGGTGGCAGCTGGCTGCTCTGGATGGGCCCGCTGTGGCGAGGGACAGCAGGGAGAGGGGTAATCCAATTGCCAAAGTCCCTCTTTGTCTTCCACCTGCAGAGCCTCCAGGCGTGAAGACGTGGATTGGTTGGTGGGTTGGGAGCTGGTGGAGTTGGTATCCAGGGAAAAGGGGATTTGGGAAGCTTTGGGGCATGATTCTCTTTCCTAAAGAGTACAGGTGGGACTTCAGCCCTTAGGCTTTTTATCTCGGTTCAATCAGCTCTTAGTTCCTTTGTGGGACCGGCAGTGTTGCTGCCCCAGCTCTTGGATAGCCACCCTCAATGTATGTAATTTCCCCCGCTCCAATCTCTTCTCCCTACTCTTCCCAGAAATCCAGCATGAAAATCCTCGTGGCCTTGGCAGTCTTTTTTCTCTTCTCCACTCAACTGCTTGCAGAAGAAATCGAAGCCAACGATGATCTGAATTATTGGTCCGACTGGTCCGACAGCGACCAGATGAAGGTGAGTCCAAGACCCAAGCTGGCCCTCGCCGTTCTTCCCGAGCTTGGGAGCTGTCACTTTCCCTCGCGGTAGCACCCTAGTTAGCCTGGTGGGCAACCACGACCAGTGGGACCAGTGGCGGTGGAGGTGAGCAGGAGGAGGGCGGTGTAAGAGGACGCCACCCTGAGTCTCACGTGAGGCTTTGTGCCCACCATCTAAGTTTCCTCCAAAAGCTACATGATCGGGTCTCAGGAACTCACTGGAGCAATAATGCCCTCCTTGATGAGCCCGGGGTCCTCACAAGGCTGAAAACTTAACAAGGTTCCATCCCCAAGTGAGGGGGATTTCGGGAACTCCAGTCCAGCCTTGCGAGACTGACGCTTGGAAATGCTGGGCAGGGGCAGCGGAGCGCACCGGAAGCAGGAAAAAGCGGGAGCAAGGGCGAGCTGCCGGGGGCTCAGAGGGCAGAGGTGGGTGGGAAGCTAACTTCCCGCAGTGACATATATTTTACGGACCTGAGACCGTAGCAGCAAGTTTTCCTCTGTTTGACTCGCAGGCTCTTGGTACAAGGGAGCGCGCCTCGCCAGAACGGCGAAAGTCGCGCCACGCAGGTCACTACAGGCGTTGTCACCCTCCCCCACCCCTGACACACACCTGTGTGCACTTAAGGTGGTGAGGCGTCTCCAAAGCCCGAGCCAGAGTCGAGGCAAAGTCAGGTGACTAAGAGGCAAATGAGCGAGGGTCCCCAAGCTCGGAGCAAAGAGCCGGAAGCGCCCCGGGCTCGGAGACTTTGCGCCTGCTGCTAACTCGCAGGGGTTTGGGGCAGGCTGCGGCGCTGGACTCGAGCTCCGCGGAGAGGGGCGGAGACAGGGAGCGCCCTGCTATAGCCCCCGCTCCGTCCTGCCGCGGAGTGGGGACGGTGACTGAGGGGGAGCTCGGCCTCCCTGCGGAGCTGGCTTCCGAGCCCTGGCCCAGCAGGGCCCCACCTCGGGCAGCCGAGTTTAGCCCAGGGCTGGAGCTCACCCCGGGAATGACTCTGGCTTCTGGGAACCTCGCGCAGATTGCTACACCTGGTTTGTCCTCACGTTTGTCCCCCAGGAGGAGCTGCCTGAGCCCCTTGACCATGTTCTGCTGCGAATCGCTCGGAGACCCAAGAATAACAAATTCTACGGATTAATGGGCAAACGGGATATTGGTGAGATGGACAGCCATCCCTTTCTCTCCGGGCAACCCGCCCATTCTGCTCGCTGATTCTCAGAGCACCCTGATCACCCCTTGCTCTTTGAGTAGAGATTTCCAGCCTAAAGCTTGTGGTAGCCTCCTCCCCTGCAGCGCCCTGCTCTAGCCTGCACATGCCTGCGGAGGGAGGGAGGCATCCGTTTAGCAAGCCCATTTGTTAGACCCAAACCACCAAGAACAGGAACCAGCCTTAGCTCCCGTGGCTCAAGATCCAAACTGACGAAGCAAGAGAAGGCACGGGTCCTCCAGGGGGTAGTACTCAGAATGTTATGAGTGCATGTGGAAGCCGATTCTAAACCCTCGGGGTTAGAATAGACTTTGCTGTCCCCTGTCACCAGGTAGGAATATTCAGTTCCTTTGAATTCGTCGTACTATCAGTGGAACCTGTAAATAGTTAGTGTCAATTGTTTCTTTTCAGATTCCTCAATTGAAAAACGAGTGGCCCTGTTAAAGGCTCTTTACGGTAATCATTTTTAATAAATATGTTACTGTTGTGAATGCTCATGTAGGGAAGTGAGAAAAGTCTTTAATGGGCTGAAATACAGATTCATTATGATGCCTATTTAATAAAGAGATGGATTTGTAATCTGTCTTTTCTGAGCATCAAATGGGTAGCCCTCCTTGAATACGTGCTTCTTACAGGGAAACAGAGGCGGTATTGCCTACCAGGTATTAATGAACAGGCCTCAGGAGTCTGTCTCACAGTCCTGGATTGGAATCTGTGGCCCATAGCAAGCACTTAAAATATTTTTTGTTTGTTAATATGTTTTGTTTCTATTATCAATTTTATTAGCGTTTATGGTTTGCTATATGCCTTAGGAGAGTTTATGAATGGAAAATGTTACATATTTTAAAAATCAATTTGCTGTTTACTTTTCCTTAAAATATATAATGTAGCATCTTTAAAACAAATTTATTGTGTTTGCTTATTTTTTCTTTCTTCTAGGACATGGCCAGATCTCTCATAAAAGTAAGTTCAAAATTATTTTAGCATTTATCAAATGCAAATGTTGAGATTGAGTTCCAGTTTATATAACACCTGCTCTATTTTCTGTTATAATTAAGGGTTTAACATGTTAAAACAGTGTAAGAATGGTGGAGACTTGTATTATATTTACATTGAGAACATGATTGTTTAAAGCTTTGTGATTTAAACAATTCATACTTTCCAATATTATACATTATGTTAAAAATTCTTTAACTACCACCTAAACTGCTGCTGAATTTTTGACTCACAGAAACTGTAAGATAATAACTATTTGTTGTTGTTTTAAACTGCTTTTAAAAAAACCTTTTAATGCCTATAAATTGTTAGTTTAGGTAAGAATTCCAATCCTAAAGGTAAAAATCCATCACACATTGACCCCTGACACCCCACAACCACCACTTCCATTGCAGAACAAAAACAAACCAAAAAGCCACACACATTCCTAAGTATCTTCTAACTCATTTCAAGTATGCTGCCATAACAACATCACTTATTAGGGCAGCGGCGCCATAACGACATCACTTATTAGGGTAATTCAGCCACCAAGAAGTTCCAGCGAATGTCTGAGTAGATAATCCTTACTAAAGATAAAGATGGAAATGCAGATTTTTTTTTTTCCATAACTGAATGGGAAACCTCAGTCTATCGAAGTAGAGTGAAACATTTCTTAGGGCAGTGAAGATGGCAAAATTGTGACTCTTGACGGCCATTAGATCCCAGTTTCCCAGTTAATGGAACCAGAGCTGACAGGCAGTCCCAGGGGTCCGTCTTAACTGTGCTGTGCACTCGCTCACTCTGCCTTGGGTGTTTGGCTCACTGGGTGGCATAGTAGGCCACAGTGAGAAAGCAGCCGTATTTTCAACGAATCCAGTATAAACAGGAGACATCCTCCTGCTAGACTTAAGGGAATCTTTCCCAGAGGCTTCATCTTTGAAACTGAATAAGTCATTCATATTTAGTTTATAAGGAGTTGAATTTCAAGGGAATTATATAGAGCAAAATTCCATGTAATTAAAATAATGCACTCCGTTAACGTCATAACTGACACACTTTCCAAAAGGAGTATTATTTAAAATCTACTAAAATAGAAAGAGTGGCCTTTTAGATGTTTATAATTGTCAAGTGTAGGGGGAATCTAACTTAAGGTTCAGTTCCTGAGAAATGAAGCATATTCAGTAACAAAAGGAAATAGGCTTCGAGAGTTCGCTGTCACACAAACAGGAAACTGACATCCTAAAGATCAAAGCTAGCTTCAATAGCAGCAATATTTAAAACCTTATATATAAAAACAGATAAAATATAATATGAATAAAGGTAGCTTGCTAATATTTAGATATAGAATTGAGAGAAGTGCTTTCATTGTATGATTTTAGTGTCATTTATAAGACTTATTAGGAACCCTCATTTCTTCTGACTCACCAAAACTTGATATATATATATTTATTTTATGCGCATATATTTGGAAACTTGCTTCTTTTGGTACTAGCTGTAACAGTTTATTTCCTCACTGATATACATATTAAAATACCCATAAATGTATTTTTCCAGGGCATAAAACAGATTCCTTTGTCGGACTAATGGGCAAAAGAACTTTAAATTCTGGTATGTATAAAATCATTATTGAAAATAGATAGTATCTTAAATCTACTTGTATTATTTTCTTTCTAAGGCATAGTTTCAAAGTATTAAAAAGGAATAATGAACTTAAAATAAGTATTTACGGTAAAAAACAATCTAACTGCAATAATTAAATCCAAGAATGGATTTATAGCTGATTAAGCTAGTATCACTATAATATCAATCTCTCTAAACTGCTAGTCTTACCTGCATTTGCCACATTTGATCATTACCTAGCCTGAGTCTTTGGGCTGGTCTAATAGTCTTTGCCTTCTATCTGTTAAATAAACCACACTTAACCTTCCTGAAGTAAGGGTGTGGGGGATGCAGGAAATAAGACCAATTTTCACTTGTTACAAAGGTAATTTGAAAGTCCTACAAGACATTACATCGGGCAGTTTCCCAACACAAAAATAAATAAGCAAAACAAAATGAATGAATTTATGCAAATTTCTTGCTCTTCACTAAAGAAGCTCAAATTCTAAAACATCCTGATAGATGTTTGGGGATAATACAGTCCATTCCAGTGCCTTCAAAAAGGAACATAATCAAACCGCCTTAGAGATACATATAATCAGTCCTGGCTGCAGAGCCCTTAGAAAGAAGGGATGCCACACACATCCCTCACAGTTCCCCTCACAGCCCATTTTAATTCAGAACAAGTCTTTCTCTTGATATGAAGGCCACATGTTTCCTTTCTTCTCTTTTGTCTCTATTTTCTATTTAAATGCTGCATACTTATATCTGAAAACTCATTCATCATAGTATTTTCAAGGTTAAATAACCCCTGTATCATTTTCATAGAAACTGATTTGTTGTTAAGCACATTCAGGCCTTATAGTCCCTAGTTTAGGTTCCTTGGGAGAACTATTTAAATTCTCTTCATTTTATGTTGAGTAAAAATGGAATTAAAATACTAATCATGTAATTAATTAGAAAGTAATTAGCACCTGTCTTATCCACCTAGAATATTTCAAATTTTTCTAGAAAATATGTAACAAAGATGTGCTGGTTTAATTCTCAGTTATCTGGAAAATCATGCAAAAATGATGTCTGCTAGTATTTACATTGGTTCTCTACCTTGCAAATTTAGACTACTATGTTGGTATTTCTTCATCAGTAATTTTGGGGCTACTGAAATTTAAATTTTAAAGACATTAGCAGTATACCTAATAAAAAACTTAAAATTGTGTTATTGATATGTATTATCTTCTGGCTTTTGGAAATTTAAACTCCCAGGCTTTATTCATACCAGAAGTGTGCGCTAGCCCTTATGTAGCTGTGGTTTTCTTAATGATGACATTAGTCTTCACCTCTCATTTCCAGAATTGGTATGTTTCAGAGCATGCTTAACTTCACAAATAATGCAGACACTGTACAATTCAGAACACATTAAGTGCTATTAGATATACTTAAAGTAATAATGTATTACCAATAATAAATAGAATAGAATCAGAATTACTTAATGACTAAATCTTTGTTCCTCTATTTTAGTTAAGAAATATAAAAGGAAAAAAACTGGGCAAAAATGTAATCTATATTCAATCAGAGATCTTTTCACATACTCAGTTGAGGCAAAGTTATTATCATCTTCTACAGCCACCTGATCCTTATCCTTTTGTGGACACAAACCCCTCTGACAATCTAGAAAAATCTAGAAACCCCCTTCCCACAGACACCCTCCTCTCCTCATTCATACACACAAACGTTTACATAGGGTTTCAGAACATTCAAGGACCTGGTATGAAACTCTTCTTGGAGTTAAGAGGATGTTCCAGCTAAATCTCTCATCTGCCTTGTTTAGTTCACATTAGCATTCACCTTACTTCTCTGAGGGAGAGAATCATGTTACCTAAAGTGAACTCATGCTAGTTATCCTCTTCCTTCACATGAACAAACAGGGGTGAGAAACGAACTGCTTGCTACCTTCAGAACTGCCCAGTTTGGGGCTCAGGCTCTTCTACCCCAGAAATGTATTCATGATTGACAGTCAGCTTATTGTTGACCTCACTCACTCACGGTTAGATGCAGAAGATCCTCTGCTCCGCATTGAAGGGGAAGTGATAACACTGGAAACTTGACCGAGCTTCTCTCTCAACAAATCCTTTCCATGATCACAATCAGTCTGATATTACCCTTTTGTGGTTCAGACCCCTTTGAAATTGTATTAATAATAATAATAATATAATATTTTGGTCTTTTTTTTTAGTCCAGGTAGGCAGTGTACTGAAATTACTTGCTAGGTGTACATTAAGTACTTTAGAAGCAGTAATTAACCTTTCACAGGACATTAGGGTGCCAGGAGGTAAGTGAAATTGTTTTGTATTTAGATGGCACAATTGTCCTACCTACAGACTATGAGGCTGTTTTCAGTCTTAAGGACACTAGGAGGCATCCACAAGACAGGAAGAAATGCTCACACCATAAGTTACCCCTGTAACAGGAATCAGCAAACTTTTTCTATAAAGAGCGACACAGTAAACACTTTAGGCTTCGTGAGCCATGCAGTCTTTGTGACAACTACTCAGCCCTCCCATTTCAATGCTGAAGTAGCCATAGACAATATGTAAAAGAATGGGTGGGGCCGTGTTCCAGTAAAATGTTACCTACAAGAAAAGGTAGTGGGCTGGATTTGGCCCAGGGCCGATAATTAACTCTGTCTTAGAAAAAAAGTCCCACATTTTGTTTCTATCCTATGACTATTCCTTAGTCACTGTCCTTTCTAGAAAGCACCAGGGGTGTCTGCGACTGCTGGAGAATGCTGCTGAGAATCAACATTGCAGTATTTTGTGCAAATATGCTTTTGGGGTACCCAGTATAAGGCGGATGAGTAAAGTTACTAAGAATTCTGCTGTTAGGTCACTTCCAGTCAGGGTAGAGACCAAGGCAAGACTGAAAGGTGTGCAAACAAAACTCTTGGAAATATTTCAGTGGAGGGGAAAAGTCATTATGAATTTTGAAAAAGTCATTATGTATGCCTTGAACTTTGTTTTATTCCCTCAGTGAATCCTCTTAAAGGACCCTTTCCCTTCTCTTTATTCTCAGCGGCTCATGAGAGGAGTGCAATGCAGAATTATGAAAGAAGACGTAAATAAACTACCTAATGTGTTATTTACTGAGCTCTCTTTGTGTCAATGGCCAATAAAAGGTAAAAAATGAGAAATGCACTATGAGTATTTATTTAATAATAATCATTGTTTTGAGTTGAAAACTCAAAAAGTATTTATTTTTCATATTGTGCCAATATGTGTTGTAAAAGTGTGTTATAATTCTAATATGATGACTCCCTTAGAAATAGAAATCAGTGGTAATTTCTCAACAAAGCACAGTGTCCAATGAAATTGTCAAAACCTGTCAATAATGTAGTCTCCAAAGAAAGGAATCATTTTTGTTTCTTGGAGGCAGTGATGGCAGCTCCTGCTGAAGAAAAGGAAACTCACAGGCAGGCTTGTGCTTCTCCACTAGTTTTTACAGTGAAAATGTATTGAGATTCGGTATCAAACTATATTTGTATCCCTGCAGCATGTTTTACATTTTGTGACTATATAGAGATGTTTCAAAAAGTTTTAATGTGATTCTAAGGTCTTCATTTCATTGTATAATATGTTGTGATAGTTGACATTTTAAATAAAAGAAAAAATATCTTGAGAATTGAGTCTTATTCTTTCCTTAATATTTAGGTCAAATCAGCAAACTTTCTTTTAATAGATGAAATATGTTCAAAGCTGTTTTGGCTGAGAAATAATGAAACATAAAGCTCCTAAATTTCTTTCTTTAAAAAAAAGACTAAAATGTTATCGCAATTTCTCACACGTGCACACATTTTTTTATGGACGAGTCAATTGACATGAGATCATTCATAGAAAAAACAATTATGTTTTGGAACCCAAAGAGTAACAGCTAAATTATGTTTATACATACCTATGATTCCCTTTTACAAATAGGGTAATAATCTATTTTAAAGATGCATTTCACTGATTGTTTTCTTTGTTGGATAAAACGTCAGCACACACTACCATTTCAATCCTGCATGGATCGAAGGTGTAAGTACATCAGTGTGTGAATTTCACTAGAATTAAGACACCAAATGAAATTGTCACAAAGGTCATCAGAAGATCATACAGAAAGATGCGGGAGCTGATAATATGGTATCACCCCCGTAACAAAGGCAAGAGCCCCTTTCCAGCATTTCTAACACCCGTAAGACTCTCCAGCAGAAACATATGCATTAGGAATAAATACAGAGCAAGCGGAGGTAGACTCTAGTGTATTTACGGGGAAAAATTGGTAAGTGTCCTTGGAACCACTTTCTGATCGCATAGAGAATGTAAAATATTGACAAGTAATTAAAACAATTCAGGACAAGCGTTGCTTGGTAAAATAAAACTTCATGAATTTAGCCTGGATAGGTGACTTTTGCTGATCAATGTTATAATCATTTGTGGGACAGGAGAGCCAAAGAATATTTTAACGTTTCTACCTTTGAATGAATAACTTGGTTTTCAAATAAAACTCTACGTTCACTTTCCTTATACAATACATTCAAATATTATAAACTATATTATGATAAGCAAAATGGAGAAAATTAGTTATCTTGAGGTCCACCCGTCAGTACTGTTAAATGTTCTATTTAACAATAACAATAATTGTGATATATGATAATCACAATAATAATAGCTATCGTTATATAGTCATGCACTGGATAATGATGTGTTGGTCAACAACAGACTGCATAAACCACGGTGGTCCCATAAAATTATAATGAAGCTAGAAAACTCCTGTCACCTAGTGACATCTCAGTTGCCACAGCATCATACTGCGCTGCATTATTCATGTGTTTGTGGTGCCGCCGGTGTAAGCGAACCTGCACTGTCAGTCACATGAGAATGCAGCACATCCAATTACATACAGTGGACGATCTTGATAATGATAAGAAACAACTATGCTACTGGTTTATGTATGTACTATATTATACTTTTTATCCTTATTTTAGAGCACACTATTTCTACTTATAAAAAAAGATTTGCTGTAAAATATTATACCATGTTATGCCAGCAGCTGTCTCATACCTACTGAGTGTACCTTGACTGTTGGTTGCATCATTTTCTCTTGTACTTGATTTGATCTCACGGTGCTTTGCCCAGTAACATTCTATATAGGTTTGTACCCGAGGAGCAATAGGCTTCACCATATAGCCTAGGTGTGCAGCAGGGTATACTATCAATGTTTGTGTAAGTACACTCTTACACAAACAACAACAAAATCGCCTAATAACGCATTTCTCAGAACCTATCCCCATTATTAAGCAGCACATGACTGTACATATATAATCACTCATTGAGGGAAGTAGTATTATCAACATCATCACTTTACAGATGTGGATATGAAGCTCAAGGAAATATTGTGGTAAGAGATTATAGTATGAGAGGAGTCAAGATTAGAAAAAAGAATTATAAAGGGAATATAGCAAAGTAAATTAATATCTCTAACAATGAGATTGATTAAGCAAACTGGCTTATTGCTACAATTAAATATGATGTCATCATTTAAAATGACATGGTGTGCCCTGGCCAGGTGGCTCAGTTAGTTGGAGCATCATCCAACACACCAAAAGGCTGTGGGTTTGATTCCTGGTCAGAGCAGATACCGAGGCTGTGGCTTTGATCCCCAGTAAGGGCATGTATGGGAGGCAACTGATCAATGTTTCCCTCTCTCTCTCCCTCCCCTCCTCTCTCTCTAAAATCAACTTTAAAAATAAATAATAAAATAAAATGACATGGTGTATTTGGTGACATGAAACAACATGTGTGATATGTTGGTAAGGACAAAGCAATATTTCTGCATTTATTTGCATATATATTTCTGTACAGATATTATAACAAGGAGGAAGAATTTAATGAGTAAGAGTGTGGGGTTCAGAGTCAAACTCCTCAGGTCTGCATCCCAGCTCCGTCACTTCATGGCATGATGGTGGGTGAGTCTCTAACTCCTTCCTGCCTTATTTTCCTTATCAGTAAAATTGGACAATGACAGCACTTTATCACTACTGTCACACACTACTATACACAGTGGATGTTATCTGCTGCGGAGCTCGGCCTGGGGTCATGAGACATGATGCCTGGAAAGCTTGGAACACAGGCCCTGGCACCAGCAAGTGTTCAGCGATTGGTACCTGGTGCCCTTGTTAGCTACTCACCAAAATGTCAGTGAGAAAATCAGCACTATATTTTCGCCACTGAATGTTTTCTTACGGGCATACTGAAGAAGCTGCAGCATGGAGGTGGTTTCTAAATCACTGCCACACAGATGAAATCTAGTGCTTCATTACAAATAGGGTAGCACTTGGTACTGTTCGTTTGCACACTGGACAGTCCCCCTCACCTCCCCCCCATCCCGCTTTCCTCTCTGCGATACTGTAAATCGCTGCCGCAGGACCCCTCAGGGACACGAAGGACCCACACCGGGGAGCCCTCACCCAGACCTGCGTTCCCTCTGCCCAAACCCAGCAACGGCCTGGGCCGGGAGAGGCAGGGGAACTCCAGCGCCGAGGCTGCGCTCATGAACTGTTTACCATCACTTTCCCTCTGTGGCATATTTCCTTTAACTAGAATAAGTTTTCGTCACCTATAGTCTCTCTTCAATATTTTATTCTGTTATGAAACGGCAAACAGACCAATCTATATAATTAAGTTACCCAAATACTTTATTGCTTTGGGTTTTTTGTTTGGTTTTGGCTTTGGTTTTTTGGTCAGGGCCCAGGACAAAAACAAATGACACTCCAAGCAAGTCACCTGAGGAGGACTGAATAAAGGCACCAATTACGAAGAGGAGGGTAGGGGCCAGAGAAGCCAGCAAAGGTGGTCGTTCCCCGAGCACGCAGCCTCAGGAGCCACTGCTCCCCTCCCTGAAGGAGCAAGGTGAGAACAAGAGGTGTAAGGCATAGACACGGCTAATCACTATGTTGTACACGTGAGATTAGTATAATACCATACGTTTTCTGTAATAGAAAAATAATTTTCAAAAAAAAAGATGAGGTAAGGGTCTCTGTGTGCAAAGGGCCACCTGGAGCTGCTGCCTTCAGTAGGATCAAAACCACCACAGGACAATCACGTATGTGTGGGAGGAAGAGGGTGGGGAGGCCACAGAATAAACATCCAGCTCATTCTCCTACTGCCGCCTGGTCGTCTGCCTGTGTTACCCACTGGGCGAGCCAACCAGAAAACACAGGGCTCAGAGGGCCCGCTGCTGCCCACACAGTCAGCAGCGCAGACAGGGCCCCAGAGCAGGTGCTGAAAGCTGACGGGTCCATTTGGAGGTGGCAGCGGAAGATGTCCAACACGCCATGTACTTCCCTTATTTCCGAACCAACAGAAAACTAACGAGAAAATATTCAAATAAAGAAATGTACCAAGTAAAAATAAAAGTCCTCCTCTGGATGCCCACTGCTGTTCCCCAGGAATATAGTTGGATGCGGACCCATCCAACAAATAGAATAATTTGAACACATACTAAAATCTCCCCTTTAACACCAAATCATTATAGATTATTTTAAGTTTTATTTTTAAAGAAATTAATAAGTATGTTGGGATTTATTTTTAAAAAGAAAACAGAGTAAGGACTTTTGGTGGACCAGAAATTATGGGGATCCCTAACTAAGACAGCACACTGGGAGCCACAGCGGGAGGTCACGGACCTGGCAGACGACCACTGGAGGCTGCAGGACAAGGTGCGACCCGGGATAGGGAACTCACCGCTGCAGAACCCAGACTCCTTACCAACAACACTGGGTGCCATGAGATAAGGGACCAAAGTCTAAAAATTCTTAAGGAAAATTATATTTAGCGAAAACTTTCAGTTAACAATGAGGATAACTTTGTGAAAGAAAAACCAACTAATAGCTGTTAGCTTAAGCCTTTACTAGAACCATCACAACAAAACAGCTCCAGGGACCTGTTCTGCTAAGAGCAGCCTAAAGAATTTACACGTTAAATTGATGGAGGTCCAAGTTCCACTGTCTTCTGAAAATTGTCCACTGTTCTGACTGGACTGCCATCCCCATTGGTATGGGGAACTTAGGCCAGATTAGTCACGGGGTGAAATTTGGGGTCGGCAAAACTGGAGCTAAGGTTTCAGCAGCTGTTAGTCAATTTGTATTTAGTAGGATTGGTGAAGAGGAAGAGGTGGGGCCCAAATCTTGCCATCAGTGGAATAATTCAGCCTTTCAGCCTCTTTCACAAATTAAGGGTATTTTCAAATATGTAAGACCTCAGAAAGTTTACCATCTGTCTACTTTGAAAGAATTACTGCAGGACGCATTTCAGCAAGAAGAAAAATAAATCTTAGGAAGTAAGGAGCAAGAAACATGGTAACAAAGAATAAAAAATATTGCTAAATTGGAATCGGGGGTGTGTGTGTGTGTGTGTGTGTGTGTGTGTGTGTGTGTGTTAAATAAATAATCTGGTAGTAAGATTCCATAAGATGTCAACATGGGAGTTAGTTGGAGAAGGGAGAGAGTATAAAAGGGAACAAATGCATGCTAAATTTCTTGTCTTGTTGAGAGGAGGGGTTGAATATAGGTGTATTTGACTCTAGACTTTTTTTAAAAGAAAGTGTA